TTACAATCATCCTTTTTCTATAATAGATTGTCAATTCTAAATCAAAGAATTACAATCATGTGCATGTCTGAAGTGTGCTTACTAAAAATACACTTATAAAGATCTTTTCATAGTATCTAGCGCTGTATTCATTACTTCCCCGTTCCTGGTTTCGCGCAACTGATGGGCTGATTTTTACCGATCTGAGTTTTAAAATTCATTTCCACAGGCCAAATCTGCAAATTTGACCCGAATTAAACGATTTTTTGAGGTCTGATCGGTAAAAATCAGCCCATATGCAACGTCCTCTGTCGGTTGCGTCAAGAGGTTGAAAAAATAATATGAAAGGGTGAAACCCGCGACGGAGGTAGTTACGTTGTTGAATGCAGATCTTCTTATTTAGTTAGGGTTAGTGATAGCGATAGGTTAATTACTATTTTAGATAGCGATCTGCATCAATAACGTAACCACTTTCGCGGGTTTCTATCGCAGGTTTCACCCTGTCGTAAAATAATAGTGTTACTTCACAGAAAACCACTTACCAATAATAGAAATTTCAATTCAAAAGAAATTAATTTACAGAAATTACATTCTAAAAGTACAGATAGATTCATTTCATAGATAATTTATTTTATAGACAATTATGTATTTACGCATACCCACGTGATGCAAATTTTTTTACGCATCTCTTAATACGTTATGCAGGCAAATTTGCCTGCAAAAATATAGTAAATACGTCATATGTACATACGAAGAGATAATATCAATTAATTTTCAGAGTGAGATTTATAATAGTTGGCACAACGGTACTTTAAAATACGGATAAATTTTTCTAGCTGATTGAGATGCGTTATTTTTATTACGTAGTATCACAGCAAGCACTGCGTTCCACTCAATTTAAAACAAGTCGGTTTAGTTTTGCATTTACGTAAAATAGTAAACTAATAGTGCCAAATTTGCCTTATACGTAAATTCCCTGGAAAATCTTTGTTACGTATTTCCTAAATAAGTAACGCATTGCTTATGCATGTGATCAGGATTTGGATATCTGATCTCCCGACCGGTTTTTTTTTTGTGTGCACTTGTTCCCACGCCATAATCCATACTTATCTTTTGATCAATTGACTTTTAGCCAATTCGAATTGAGTATTATTAAAGGTAGTTTTAATATATCGATATCGTATTTCAAGTACACTTACCTAGACATCTGAGATTAGAGGATTTATTTTCATATGTTAAGACGGTTTTGAACGAATCAAGCATATGAAAATTTTACCTGGATCATATATTTATCTTCCGATATTCACCTGTATCGGTTTTTGTATAACGTTTTACAACCAAGTACAATACGCACATAACCCTATCTGCTATTGAATAACATTTCTCAAGACAAATTTGCCAACTAAGTTCCTGAATTTTAATGTTTAAAAATGGCATATCATGAAATCGATGACTTGAATAAAGAATTCATAGATTCCGAACATACACTAAATGTTCGAAAAAAAGGTGATGATATGAAACTTGAATCTGAAGAAGATATTCGAAAAGGTTTTTATTTATTTATTTATTTTAATTAATTAATACAATAAACAGTTATTTAAATGATTTTTTTTTTAAACATTATACCAATTCTTTAAGCCTCATTCGAATCTTACGAATCACATTTTGCTGATAATTTTTCTGATGATGAATTTATATTGAATTTATCTAATTGCTTTTATAAATTATTTAACACACATTATGAGCCGGCATATGTGGTTAATTTATTGAGACAATATTTTAAAGACAATAATACAGATCCTAAAGATACATTCAATCAATTAATTAAACATCGAAATCAATTATATTTTACTAGTATGATTGGTTACTTTTATCAATTTGGAATTGGTACGGAAGTTAGTTATAGATTAGCAAATAGATATTATATGAGATCTATTCTTCAAGAAATAAAAAAATCTCCAAATAATTCGGATTTGATTGAAAATAATTGGAATATAGGAAAAATTTCTTTAGCATATTTATATTTTTATGGAAATGGAGTTAAAGAAGATATGGAAAAAGCATTTCATTTTTATAATGAAGTAGCTGAAAATAATTATGGTTTAGGTCAATATTTTGTCGGTAAATGTTTTGAAGAAGGTTATGGAGTGGAAAAGAATAATAAGAAGGCTTTTGAATGGTATATGAAATCTGCTAAAAATGGAACACCTCTTGGTCAATATGGTATTGGACGATTTTATCAATATGGAATATATATTGATAAAGATGAAAAAATAGCATTTGAATATTATTTAAAATCTTCAGAAGGTGGAAATTTAAATGGGCAAGCAAATTTAGGTTATTGTTACGAACACGGCTTAGGTGTTTACAAAGATAAAAAGAAAGCTTTTGATTTATATTCAAAATCTTTTTTTAGTTCTGATATTTCAATTACGCAAAATTATTTTTTGCGCTTATATAGAAATTATATAGGTATTGACAATGACAATAAGATGGCAATTGAATGGCATTTAAAATCAGCGGAGAATGGTAATCTTATCGCACAAAATAATCTTGGGTTTTGTTATCAACATGGTATAGGAATTGGTAGAGATTTTAAAAAGGCAATCGAATGGTATACAAAATCTGCAAACTATGGTAATTCTAGTGGGCAAAATAATCTTGCATGTTGTTATTTGGACGGCAAAGGAATTATTAAAAACGAAAAGAAAAAGGCATTTGAATTATGTTTAAGTGCAGCCAATAGTGGTAATTCTGACGGATATAATAATCTTGGATGGTGCTATCAGCATGGTTTGGGTGTTACTAAAGACGAAAGAAAAGCTTTTGATTGTTTTTTGAAATCTGCAAAAAGCGATAATTCTTATGGACAAGTTAATCTTGGATGGTGCTACTATCAAGGTATAGGCATCTCGATGAATCGGAAAAAAGCATTTGAGTGGTTTTCAAAATCTGCTGAGGGTGGTAGTATCGTTGGACAATGTACACTTGGTTGGTGCTATCAAACCGGTACATGCACCATCAGAAATGAAACTAAAGCATTTGAGTGGTATTCCAAATCCGCTGAAGGCGGTAATATTGAAGGACAAACTAGTCTTGGGCACTGCTATAAAGATGGATCTGGAGTTTCTATAGATGAAGAGAAAGCGTTAAAATGGTTTTCAAAGGCTGCATACGATAACATTAATAAAATCTATTGGCTTTAACGTTTATATTCATAGATGAATATTTTTAGTTAATATATATTCATTTTTATCAATATTTAGTTTAATCTTTGCTGAATGGGATTAGGTTCTTTTAAAATAAAACCTCCTTGTTAAATTTAATAATAAATACATAAGCATAGCTTATAACATTACGGAACTAAACTAAGTTTCGGTTATCAAATCTAAGTATTTTGCCCAAATTTAAATTTTAGTTATAAAATTACATATTAATCAATCAATGCTAAACCTCACAAAAATTTTTTGAACCTTCGATATACTGTCTTCCTCCTCTATAATCACACAGTCCGTATCATGCAAATTGTGTGATTATATAAAGGTTTTTACTATGATGTGCTTATAAAGGAGTATTTTTTTATAAGTTTATTAGTAAAATGTTGCAGGCTTTAGTGTGATTATAAAAAAGGTTTTAATATGATGTGATTATAGAGGAGGTGATTATAGAGGAGTAAGACAGTATATTGATAACGCGTCTAACCCATCTTCTACGCACCTCATTTGAACTTAGAAATTTATATGTAATGATGCATCCTAATCTGGGGAGTAGTGATGAGACCCAAACTAGTTTTGGCAAATATCAGCATTTCAGTACTTTTTTATTCGGTTTGGGACATTTGCCAAAATCCCAAATATATGCCGAAATTCCAAACATATGCCAAAATCCCAAACATATGCCGAAATCCCAAACATATGCCGAAATCCCAAATATATGTCAAAATCAAAACTTATGACAAAATTTAAAATATTAACAAAATATGCTGAATTTACAAATAACCTATATAACAAAATATAGATTATGACAATATTGTGCAAAAATTTAAGGGTAGGGGATACATAGATTATTTTTTATATGAAATGATTATATATTTTTTTTTTATATAGTGATCAAAATTTTGCTTCATATAAAACTTTTTTAATTTTAATTAAAATTTATAAATTTTTTTTATTATATATAGTTTAAAATAATATATTTCTTGTTATAAAATTTTAAAATCTATTTGGTTTAAAAAAATCATACTTGTATATATCTTAAAAAAACTTAGATTAATTCAAAAAAACTTAGGTAATACAACTACTTTATTCTGATTAGCTAATTTATATAAATCTATAATATAAATTTTATAGTAAAAAATAATACGCAATCTTAAAATTAGGCTATACAAATTTAATTAATTAGTTTTCATAACAAGAAATTTTAAATCAGACCTGACTAGCTAGCTTTTTTTTAAAAATTTTATATGTAAAAATTTTATAAAATACTATAAAATTTTTTACAAAAATCTATCTGGTTATTAAAACATATAAAAAAAAATTTTTTAAAGTTTTCAAACTTTGATCTGATCAGGTTATGAAAACCAATTTATTAAATTTATATGGCTTTAATATATTTCAATAAATTTTATATTAATTTTAATAAATTTACTACTGTTAGAATTACAAAAACATTTTCTACAACTTTACTTAGAAGTATAAAAATATTTACTCAAAAAGATATTTTGTAATATTAAAAAATAAAAAAGTATTATTAAGTTTTTATATAATTTTAAAGTAGTAACTTCTACCTTAATTAATAATATAATTTAATCTAGTTATGTAATTTTAATCTAGTTAATTAGATCTAGTGATCTTAGTATAGTAGTTAGGTTGCCAGACTGCTATGCAAGAAGTCTGGAGTTCAAATCTTACTGTTAACAGAATTGAATAATTATCTAGACCTTCTGTATTTAATTTACAGTAAACTCTGTTTATTTCTGGAGTTGTAACTCTGTAAATTACATTATACTAATATTGTTTAGATATTGGAAGTGTGATAAAGTATTTGGAGAAATATAATATTATACAAATAAATCTTGATAAGATCTATAAGCAGAAGATCTGTATAGTAGAAATCCTGAGTTAAGTGAAAAAGTACAGATTTTAACAGTTATACAAGTTTACATTTAATTTGGAAAAAGAAATCTGCATATAAAAAAATTAGTAACTAGATACAAGTAAGTTTATTAGAAAATCTGTATATAAAAAGATTAGTAAAATAGATATGAATAAGTCTATTATACAAGGTCATATAGCAACACTAACTTGGCTTGATAGCTAACTAGATTTAGAAAAATCTATTTCATATGATATTTAGAGATACAGATGACTAACAGCAACACTAATTTAAGTTAACTAGATTTAGGAGTTCTTATCTTGTGTGATATCTAGAGACACAAATAACTAACTTAGTAGAAAGCTATAGTAGGAACTTGAGTTTATATAAACATCAAACAAGAATATATGCAAGCTAAATTAGAATATAGTATAGTATAGTTGAGTACTATAGTATCTATTGATTAGAAAGTTAGTAAAGAAGTATCTAAAATAGGCCTAGGCTTCAAATCATAAAGTTTGTAGATATATATTAGCTCTGTTAATATATTCTGAAAAGAGAAGTAATATGAAGTTAGATGAATTTAGGTAATAAAAGATAGCAGAACAGAAATAGCATATAGTCTAAGAGTTTAAATAGAAAATTTTTAAATAAATTTCAGATATAGTAGCTAGTATAGAAACTTCAGGTAAACTACTTAAATTAGATAATCTAAAGCTATATATATAGCTAGTTATACTCTCACTTATGTAATTATTTCTTACTATCTATACTAATAAAAAATCTTACTGATAGTATGTTGTATAAAGTAAAAAAAAAAAATCTAGTTAATTAATAAAATTAATAAATTGTTTATTTTTTAATATATATATATTTTTCTTTTATATATTAAATATAACAATATTGATATTAATAGATTCTGCAGAGACTTCAATAAGTATTATTAAGAAGGTATCTAAAAAAAAATATCTAAAAAAGAAAGATATTCACTATTACATATTCTGAATAATTTCAAAAAAAGTTTACTAGACAAATATAAATATTGTAATATTGTCTTTATTTAGACAATTTTGGTTAAAAGAAAAACTTTAATAATAGAAGTTATTTAGTATTATATTGTAATAAAGTATCTGACCAAATTGTTATTTTTTATCTTAATTAAATTATTAAACAAATAGAAAATTTTGCTTTAAGTAATAATAGTAATAATAAGACTTTTAATTTTAATTAAAAAAAAGAAAAAAATAATTATAAAAAGTTATTAGTAGAACCAGTTAGTAAAGATTATAGAAGAAATATAAATTAGGCTTTAATTAAGACTTTTATTTGCTGTAATATTTTTAACTATTATTAATAATTCTTTTTTTATTAATTTGCTTAAATTGTTAGAATTTAGTTATACTTTTCTGCATATATATACTTTAGCTAATTATTTATTAGATAAAGAGTTTGTAATTATTATAGCTAATCTTAATAAATTATTTAAAAATTAATATAATTTAATATTAGCATTTAATAGCTAAAAAAGCCTACTTAATAATTTATTATATAATTATATAGTTTTAATAGCAGATTATAAAGAATATTTAATTATTATTTTAAATTATTTATTAGATTTACAAACAGAAATTTATATAGTAAATTAGATTAGTATAATTATAGAACAAGTAGAATCTTCAAAATTTGCTACTATAGTATTAGATAATAGATTTAATATTTTTTTTTTTTTTTTTTTAACGTTAAGGTGAGTACTTAGCTCAATTTATTTATTGCAAATTAAATTATCTATTACAATTGTTACATTATAATTTCAAACTAATCTACATTTACTAAGTTAAGCTTAGGACGTACAGTATATTTATATGCACTATCTATTCTTGTACAAGACCTACTAGAGTAGTCCATAGCCTACAACTGTG